AGCTCGACACTCGACTGAGTCCACCGTCGCGTGCCGTCGCGTGCCGTCGCGTCGACGTGAGTTCGGCGTCGTGAGTTGACTCGACTTTTTCAACACGCACGAGCGACGAAAACTCGCGTCGATCTGCATCAATCTCGGTCAATTATGTGCACAAATGTATACAAATGTCCTACGTGTATCACGTGTATTATTAACAATGATACAAGAGTCCGTACGTCCGTATTCAGAACGCGCTTTTATCGATACATAAACGCGCGCTTTTATCTCCAAATTTCTATAATATGCGTAACGTAAAGTATAGCATATTAACGCGCTAACATCGTTGTAGGCGCGTTCTGAATACGGGCCAAGGTGTTTTTCTCCTGAGAATCTCAGCAACCAATCAACGAGGCGATATTTACAACAGTAGCGTAAAAAATATCGCCTTGCTAGTTGGTTGCTGCTCCGCTGCTTGACGAATGACGCTTGCTGCGTGGCTGCGTCCAGTCTGCACTACTACTAGGAGTACTAGGGCTGCGTTCCGTTTCACGGATGATGCGCATGATGCATATTTTATCTTTCGCCTAGTTTTCACCGAGGGTTCGATGCCGGGTCAAAATGCAAGAACCAATCAACTAGAGTCGAGCACTCCCCTGTCATTCAACTAACAGCACAGTATAACAGCACAGTAGGGACACTTTGAGCGGCATTCATAGTCAATTCTTATATTCAAGGCCATCTTAAGTACAGTCTTAAGATCTCACGAACCAATCAGAAAACCGCAAATTAGCATTTTAAGACGATGCACCCATTGCGCCCATTCGGTACTACGACCGCTCACTGAGCGCTCAGTGAGCTCTTGAATCTGTTTGGTCTATATTTTTAGTTCTAACGGTCTATGAATATCGGCCTTTATGTCGGCACCTTTGATTTCCTTGTCGAGAGTCACGTGAGCATCCACCATGTTAACATTTAAAAAATTCAGGGCCGAATAGAGAATGTAATGCCCCATAAGTAATAATGTAGCCACAATTTTAAAAATTTTACAAAAATATATAAAATAATGAATAAAGTTATTTCAAAAATAACAAAAACTAAAAGAATAAGTCAAATATCAAATTTATTTAAACTAAATAGTAATTAGAAATGAAACATTTTTGTTAGTTAACTTATCTTTCGATATTTTTGGGATAACGAAAAAAGTGGATTGTACATTTTTACTATTATTATACCGCATTGGTTAATACTGCACGTAACATAATTTTTCTTTATTTTATCCATTTTTTTATAAATATTTAAAGCAGCTCCACAAACTGTCGAGTGCAATCGTTTACCCAGCAGTTAGCACAGAAGCATTACTTTATCCTTGTTGTTACTTGTCTCATTCAATATTTTTCGGAAATCCAAAATCTAAACAAGTTACATACAAGGTTCACGGTTTAAAACTTTTGACTGCTTTTGACAGCTTTTGACAATTCTTGCCGAATCATGCATTAACTAATGATGCGATTTCCAACCCGCTTACCCGCTTGCAGATCAGCGCCACCGGTCGGCGGCCCTTTTTTGAGTGGAAGAAGAAAATTTTCGTATCCCCTTCGTCGGGGATGCCCAAAAGACGTCCTATGGTGTAATAAAGAAGAGGTGATGCTCGTGAGGTACACCAAATTTTGACGCGTTCTGAGCATATATGGCGCATATATTGGAACAAGTTGCCCTCCATATTGGAAAATTATAATAAAGAAAACAAAGAGATTGACGCATCGCTTGTAATATGTTTTTGTAAAAAAATGGTGGCATGCAGCGTTAAGGGGTGTAAAAATTGCAGTGAAAATGCGAAAGTAAAAAAATGAAGTTTTTTTCGTTTTCAAAAGATAGTGACATTGAAGCAAAGTGAATGAAAGCTTGTGGCAAGAAAATTAACCTCAAAAGTAGTAGATATATAAATTAAATATTATTATTTACAAATTTATTTGTTTTTTTCTAACAAATTCTGATAAAGCACTTTATTTATATATCTTTACCCTTTTCATATAT